GTAACCAACTAGTAGCATTCTTAGAAAAACAAAATGAAAAAAAAAATAAACTGGGGGTTAAATAACACGAACGGCAATAACGCCAAATTTGCTTTATTTCACTTTTAAATGGGAAATAATATCAAAATCTGAGTTTCGCTTTATTTCCAACAAAGGTTGGAAATAAAACAAATTTTGCATTATTTCCCATTGCTTATTTATACAATTTGTAACAAAAACAATTTACTGACAAAAGGAAAAAGAACTTTGTTTATTCCAAAAATACTATTAAACATAAAATGTGATATAATTCATATGAAGAAAGTAATATTCACAAAATATTTTTAGTTATGAAAAGTCTAACAAAATATAGGGAAAGCGTCGTCATTAATAACTGCTTGGCAAAGTGGACATAGCGCTTTTGTATGAATTTTATCTGCATGCTTTTTAATAGGTTGAAAATATTGCTGGAAAACTTTAAAATGTTTGCATGGAACCAAGGCGCAATAAACAGGTGAAGTAATAAAACAGCTTTCTCGCTTTATTTTCTGAAATTCGGCGGCCTTATAGTCACATTTTAAAGGCAATTTTTCAGACGAGGCAGTTTCCAAATCTTTCTTCGCGCTCTAATTACTTCACCTGGTATAATTCCGCCATGGCATGGAGCAAACTAAAATCGCCGTTCCTGTTCGCAGCATATGTATAACACAGAGAATAGTTGTTTTCGTATTCTCCAGCAAAAAATATCCAGTAACTTGCCAGTAACCAAATTTCGGAGAGTAGTCCAAGTTTTATGAACAGCTGATTAATTTGTTATTTTCCGACGCAATATTCTAAGAAAAATAGTATTCCCCATGTTAATATATATTTAAATAGTTTTAATTTGTCAATTTCAACTCTCTATAAGCTCCACCAACAATTCTTTTGGTAATGTGAATTGCATCAAGCATCATGACATCAGCTGTTTTGCTTACTAGCGAATAGTTACTATTAAAAATGTATCCAGTAAAACTTGCAAGCTGTAATTTTTGCTCTCTCCATTCTCTGTTGTTGTTGTTGTTATAGCGGCTACTAAGCCCCGTTAGGGGCGGTTCATCCATCAACGTTGTCGTCTATTTCAGCTTCAGAGGGGCTGTCCATAGGGACAGGGGCGTTAGCTGAGTGGGATTCTCAGGGCATGTGAAGAGGTGCCGGGAGTCATGTGGCGACTCTCCTCATGCCGGGCATTGGTTGGGCACATCCTCGTTGATTCTGCTTAGGTAGCTATTGAGCCTGCTGCAATAGCCAGAGCGAAGTTGGGCTATTGTAGTGCGGGTCTCCCGAGGCAGACACAGTTCTGTCCCGTCCACGTCCGGTGGTTGTGTGCCTAGAACGGCATTCACAGGGCGGGAGTCTACATAACTTGAGACTGATTCCCTGTGAATGCCGTTCAGGGCCTGTCGGTAGGTTGACGGGTCCAGAGGTTGTTTAATATAACTCTGGACTGTCAGTTCGTAAAATACCTCCTGACGTGCCGTGGCGAGGGCTCTTCCAAGAGCAGTTGCCCGCTGGGATGGCCACGTCTGTGGCTCCCAGCGAGGAACTGCTTGCAGAGCATTATGTTATGCTCCCTTACTGGGAGCATCTGGGCCTCGTCGTGAAGGTGGTGTTGAGGCGTCATCAGGAGGCATCCTGTCGCAGTTCGTAATGCCGTGTTTTGGCGGATCTGCAGATTCATCCACTGCGTCCTGCTAGTCCCCGGCGACCATACGGGCGCTGCGTAGTTCAGAACCGGCCGGCCAATTGCCTTGTATGTTGCCAACAACGTTTCTTTATCTTTGCCCCAAGTGCTGCCGGCCAGCGACTTGAGGACAATTGTGGTTGTATGCGCCGAGAAGGAGAGCAGACTGTCGAAGGTAACTCCCGAGGATTTTCGGGTTATTCACCGTCGGTATTGTTACGTCGTCAACGTGAATACCCAGTGTCAGTCTGCCCTCCTTCGTCCAGGTGGTGAAAAGGGTTGCCGAGGATTTTGCAGGGGATAGGCCAAGGCTCCTTGTAGTGAAGAAGCGAGAAAGTTCGGAGAGGTAACCGTTTACTTTTGAGCACAAGTCATCAATTCCATTCCCAGACGCCATGATCGAACAGTCGTCAGCATACGAGACTATATTAACCCCCTCTGGTGGCTGAGGAAGCTTTGATATGTAATAATTAAACAGTAGCGGGGACAGGACACCACCCTGTGGTACCCCCTGTTTAATTTTACGTGGCTTACTGGTTTTGTCTCTGAAGATTACTGACGAGTGTCGACCACTCAGGTAATTCGCCGACCACCGTTTGAGTCCCTGTAGGAGTGAGGAGGCCTCTGTATCTTCTAGTAGCGTTGAATGACTGACAGTGTCGAACGCCTTGGACAGGTCCAACGCTACTAGAATAGTTCTCTCACAGCGGCGGTTTCGGTTTAGGCCACGAGTTATCTGAGTGTTTTTGGCGTTAAGTGCTGTTGTTGTACTATGCACTTTACGGAACCCATGTTGATGCTTCGCTGGGGTCAGGTGGTGGACCCAAATTTTTCACCATCAACATGCATATTCCATCGGGTCCAATGACTTTGGAGGCTTTCGCCTTCCCGATGGCTACCCTTACCTCACCGCTGGTGAAAACAAGAGGCGCACTAGGTTTTGGCATTTTGTGCAGCCTTCTGGTCACTCGACGTTTGGCTTTTTCCACCGGAGGATGCAGAATGAACTGCCGGCTATAATAGCACGCGCATCTCTCCGGGTCCGACGAAGCGTGGTCACCAAAGTCTATCTCGACTCTGTCGCCGCGCTTCGTCGGGTTGGACAACGACCTCACGGTTGACCAAAGCTTGCTCACACCAGAGGCGAAGTTGCAGGTCTTCAGATGCTCTTCCCATTTCTTCCGCTTATGTACGTTCACAAGTTGCCGAATCTCCGAATTGAGATCCCTAATACGGGGATTTCCGGGATCGGCCTGACGAAGGTTGTCGCGCTCATCACCTAGAACAGCCGCTTCGGCCGGAAAATTCGGACGTGGATCCTTAATACATCCTGCTGGGATGAAGGGAGCTGCAGCAGCGGTGACAACCCTGCGGAACTTACGTTCACCTACATGAACGTCGGTTGGTATGGGTAGTGCAGTGAAGGCGCCCTCAGTAACATCCGTGAAGCCTTTCCAGTCAGCTTTGGAAAAGTCCGGTGATCCACGGAAGCAAAGTCGGCAGGTTTATCAATCGAGATGACTATGGGCAGATGGTCTGATGCTAGAGTCAGCATAGGTCGCCATGATACGCTGTTTATCAGACCAGCGCTTACAATTGTTAGATCTGGCGAGCTGCAGCAGCTGCCCATAGTACTGGTGGGTCATTGACATTGATCACTTGACAGGCTTGAGTGCCAGAGATCGTGGTGCGCGTTAAAGTCACCAACTACCATACGGTTTTCACCTCCGAGTAGCGCACCTATTTCAGGGTGATATCCTGCCGGGCAGCTGGTGACAGGGGGTATGTATACGTTAAATATTTCGAGCTCAACATCGCCTGACCGGATAGCAATACCCTGACATTCTAGGATGGTATCCCTGCGGTCGATGTCTGCTTCAATGAGACGATACTGCACGGTGTGGTGCGTGATGAACGCTAAACCTCCACCATTATCTCGCTCGCGATCTCGACGGTGCACGTTGTATCCGGCGCAATTCAACAGGGTTGAATTGCCGAGCAACTTCGTCTCTTGGACCGCAGCTATTAATATTCCATGCCTTCCCATAAAGACAGTTATCTCTTCGATCTTGCTCTGGAGTCCGTTACAGTTAAATTGTAGCACCTTTGTGTGCCTTGGGAGACCGATTGTGATGTGTGGTGTTAAGGAGTTGTGTTGCCCTCCGGCCCCCTGCAGTACGTGCTGCCTTGTGGTGGTGGTTGGCAGCGTCGCGGGGGAGGGATGCGACGGGGCAGCACAGCAGGGGCCCACATAGTCACTCGTCCAATCTCGTGTGTTGCGAAGTCCTGAGCACGCCCTAAAGTGGCACCAGCCGAGGCAGGAGTTGCACTTGACTGATGTCACGTTACGGTATATTCTGGACTGACAAACAGAGCAGATTGTCGGAGCGACTAGTAGTTGCCGGCGGCGGCGTGTGGGTGCTATTGTGTTTGTTTGTGTGTCTATTGTTGTGTTGTGTTGGGGTGTGGGTGTGTTGCCCAGGCGGGTGGTGGTTTGCCGTGGAGGCGGTCCGGTTCGCACAGCATGGGGCCACGAACGACGAGGTCCATTTCCGGTGCGTACGCAGGCCCGAGCAGTTACGGAGGTGACTCCACCCGTCACAGGCATTGCACCTGACCGAGGTGGAGTTTGTATGCAGTCGTCTCTGGCATACACAGCAGGTGTAGATTTCTGGCCCTGGGTTTGACTCTATGCCAGCCCTGAGCAGAAGGGTGCAGAGAAGGTATAGTCCTAGGATCGAGCAACGTTTGATGGATTTCGCCGACCTAAACGAGGTTAGATCGCCGAAACAACAGCGTAAACAACAGGTAAAACGCGAGTCATTCCGGTACGTAGAACCGGCTGACGTGGGAATGTTCTCTCTCCATTCTCTCTCTTTTGCTGGTTTCGTGCAAGTTTTTGCGTACGAAAACGCCGTCCAGTAAAAACCAGTATAATTAGTACTGGATAGTGCGTACGCGAACAAGGCTCATATTGTTTTGAGTTTTATCTACAGTTAAAATTTCTGCATTATCATACCTTGCTTAACTATATCCGAACTGTGGATTTCGTTTACGAAGATGAAGCGAACATGTGGTACGAAAAAGTGATGTAAAAATATGTAAAATTTTACCTACTCTCACACTTCTAAATTTCAATGTATACTCGATACAAGCAAGTGGGATGAATGGCGCAATAAACATGTGAAGTAATAAAAAAGCTTTCTCGCTTTGAATATTTCCAATGGTCGCCTTTCGCACTCACCTTGTTCACATTAAACACTTTGTATCCGCTTAAAGGAAAGGTTTTTGTTTCAGATAAGAAATTCAAATATTTTTGTGTTTATTTGTGCACCCCACAATTAAAGTTAATTTACAAAGCGTTTTTATTAAAACTTTAGAGTTAACTCTCGTATGAATCATCAAATGCTAGGGCGCGTGCGCGATGTCCGACGTTTTTGGCTGAACTGACTGGTCTCTCATTTGGCCCGATTATGGGAAGCGGCCGTGCGCGCTCGTTAATCATTTTTCGGACTTCACACCGCTGCGGCCACAGGATGCGCGCACGGCCGCTGAATTAAGTTTAAGTGGCGGCTTAAACATCGTCCCCGCCCTGCAGGAATGCGTTGCTGAGCGTCTCCTGCAGCTCTTTCAGGGCGCGGATCGTGTTGCCAAGGACGCGGTGGGTGGTGCGACCCTGGAAATTGGCCGTTTGTAGGCCTTGAGGAGGGCGCGCGATCGTCCGTTGGGCGGTCTTCTTGCGCGGCGGTTGCGGCGCCTGGTTGCGCGGGTTCTTCTGCGCCTTCTTCTGCCCACCTTTCTTCGGCGGTGCCCTCCGCTTGATGGGCTTGCATGCTGTCGATTTGGCCCGGTTGGGCTGCTGGTTTCGTTGGCCTGTGCGCGCGGGCCTGTTAGCTGCCACATGCAGCAGCGTATGGTGCGCTAAGCCACAAACCTTGCAGCTGCCTGGTGAGTCGCATTCGCCGGTTGTGTGGGTGAGCGCAAGGCAGTTGACCCAATACCCTTGCGCCCGGGATACTGCCAATCGCTGCGGTGGCTTCATGGCCTTGAAGGCCGGGCACGTCCTGAGCGCGTGGTACCGGTGGCAGAGCCGGCATTGTAGACAGTTGTCTGTCTCCGCCGTTGGAGCCAGGGGGCACGCCTTCCGTGCTGCCATGATGTCTTCGATCTGGAAGTAGAAGCAAAGTCAGAGAAACGAGAAGTACTTGGGTACAATGTTTAAACGGGAAGTTAAGACCCTTAATATACAGAAGGAAAATATGTATAGAATTATCTATTGTGCTTTTGGAAGGAAGCACAGTTTGACAAGTGGCCGCGTGATAACTCCATTTTGTGTACGGACTTCCACGACACGTATGTGGTTATCAGGGCCATGGCGAACGTTTTCGATTCGTCCCAATCGCCACTCGGTGGGGGGGAGTGAATCTTCTTTGATCACGACGATGTCGCCTGGCTGAGGATCGCGTTGTGGGGTTTTCCACTTGTATCTCTTCTGAAGATCTTTGAGGTAATCTTCTTTCCAGCGGCGACTAAATTGGTGGTGAAGTGCTTTGACTTTCTCCCACCGGTTTAGTAGAGGTTTTCCGCATTAGGCTCGGGAATGGCCAACAACGGTGCACCTCGAAGGAAGTGACCCGGAGTAAGTGCTGTCATATCAGCTGGGTCTTGAGAAAGTGCGGATAGAGGCCTCGAGTTGAGGACTGCTTCAATTCGCACCAGAAGCGTCGTGAATTCTTCGAAAGTGAACTTGTGGGTTGCAGCGGTTTTCTTTAAATGGATTTTAAAGCTTTTCACTGCAGATTCCCACAAGCCGCCCATGTGCGGGGCGCTGGGTGGTATATATTGCCAGTTGATGCCTTAAGGGGCATGTTTTTTGACAATGTCTGCGGAACATTCGTTAAGGAGTTTAACGAAGTCGCGTTCTGTTGCGCGCTGGGCGAATGCTGCTCGAAAAGCCTCGGTTGGAAGCTCCGAGCATAGCTCGAGATGCACTGCCTTTGTGGAAAAACGGACAAAAACTGCAACGTATCCCTTGATAAGGGTTGTAGATCTAAGCACCGATGCTTTAATTTGGAATGGCCCAGCAAAATCTACTCCCGTTGTGGAAAATGGGAGTGAGAAACTGCAGCGCTCAGGGGGTAGAGCGGCCATTATTTGGGTGCGTGTTTGTTGCTTGTAAAGCGTGCACACTTTGCACTGAAAAATGCATTTTTTAATTATAGGTTTTAGCTTTGGTACGTAGTACTCTTGCCTTACCATTTGGAGCATTAATCGTGTTTCTGCGTGAAGAAGCAGCGAGTGTAAAAACTCCAAATATAGCTGGAAGAACCTCGATTCGGTAGGAAGAATTATTGGGTGCCTTTCATTATAGCTTAGTGTGGAATGTGCTAATCGGCCATTAACCCGTAGAAGTCCGTCTTTGTCCAACGAAGGATTGAGAACGATAAGAGGACTTTTTTGTTAAGTGGCTTTTTATCTTGCAAAGCGCCTTTTTCGCTCGGAAAATGGCGTGATTGCTCTGCGTTGATAAGATGAATTTTTGCATATTGAAATTCGTTATGTGTCAGATGTGGATAGGTGATTGTAGCTAACCCCTTTGATTTGTTGCGGGCATTGCTCACGAAGCGGAACATGTACGCAGTCACGCGGAGTGCTCGAGACAAAGAAGAAAAGCGATCAAGAAAATCGACCTCTTCTTCAAGCGCGTGATATACCTCCACTTTGCGCTTTTCTGGTGGAGATGCACTGCATGCCTTTGACCTTGACCATGCATCCATGTGGCAAGAGAGCCATTTTGGTCCGTGCCACCAGAGTGGGGAATTTGCCAAGTCCTGCGGTTTGCACCCGCGGGTGCCGAGGTCGGCTGGATTATCTTGGCTGGCAACATGGCGCCATGTACCGGTTGGAAGATATTCCCGGATTTGGGAGGTACGATTGGATACATACGTCTTCCATGTACATGGTGGTTTTTCAAGCCAAGCTAGCACAATCTCTGAATCTGACCATACGAATGTGTTGCACGATTCCAATTTGAGCTGTTTTCGAACAGTTGCGACCAGTTTTGCGAGTAAGACTGCACCACACAGCTCCAGCCGTGGCAAGCTTACCGTCTTCAATGGTGCGACTTTGCTTTTTGCGACCAAGAGAGTGGAATATCTTTGGTTGCGAGCATCTCCGCGGATGTAAATCGCAGCGCAATATGCTTTTTCCGAGGCATCACAAAACCCGTGGATTTGGGTATCTTGCCCCGGAGTGAAAGTAACCCATCGAGGGATTTCGATGTGGCAGATGGCTGGCAGATTTTCAGCGAACTGTTGCCATTTTGCCAAGGATATAGGTTTGGCACATTCGTCCCAATCAACGCCATCTAGCCAAAGTTCTTGAAGAAGAATCTTTGCTTGAATCATCACTGCCGATAGCCATCCTGCCGGGTCAAAAAGTTTTGCGACAGAAGATAAAATTTGTCGCTTTGTGACGGCATTCGATGACGATGCAGGCAGAATGGTGTATGAAAATTTATCTGTGAGTGCGTTTCATTGTATACCAAGAGTTTTGGTTGTGGAAGCGCTCTCAAATTTCAAAAAGTTGGAGTCGAGAAGATCCTCCTTTGGAAATTTTTCTAAAATGGCCGGATGATTGGCCGTTAGTTTCTTGAGTATGAAACCAGCTGACTTAAGCGCTTTGATCACTTGAAAAAGTGATTCAGTGGCGTTGTCAATATCATGACTTCCGGATAGGATGTCATCCACATACGTTTCGGTTTTAAGTATTGTGGCAGCCAAGGGAAATGTCGCTATCGTATCATCTGCTAATTGATGCAGGGTACGGATAGCGAGGTATGGTGCACAATTAACCCCGAACGTTACGGTTTTAAGATTATAATCGGTGACAGGAGAGTCAGCCGATGTGCGAAATAAGATTCGCTGAAAATCTTGATCGTCCTCATGGATGTGTATTTGACGATACATTTTTTCAATGTCGCCATTGAACACGAATCTGTGCATTCGCCACTGCAGAATGAGCAGCATGAGATCTGGCTGGAGTGTGGGACCAGTTTGCAACACGTCATTCAGGGAATTTCCTGAACCAGATGTTTTTGAGGCGTTTAATACCACGCGAATTTTGGTGGTTACCTTATCTGGTTTGACGACCGCATGATGTGGCAAGTAGAACGAGAAGTATTTGCCATTCGCTATTATCTCGCATGGCTTCGTGTGCTCCATATGACCGAGGTCAAGATATTCTTGCAACACATTGTTGTACATTGTGCCTCTCCTTTTTTCTGGAGCGATCGCTCCATGCTAAAAAACTGCGGAAGTGCAGCAGACCGAGAGTGGCCCAGAGACAGCTTTTTTGGAAATTCTTCCTTGAATGGAAGTCGCACAATGTATCGACCGTTTGGGGCACGAGTCGTTGTTGTTGCATACATATTTTCACATGCCTGATCTTCAGGGGAAATTTGTGGAGGTTGTGGAATCTCCTCCTCTTCCCAAAACTTTCTAAGAGTTGTATTCGAGCACTCTTCTACTTGTGTCGAGAATGACACCACATTTTCGGTTATTGGACCTCTGAGAATCCAGCCAAATATTTTTTTTTTGCGCAAGTATAGTTTTGCAAATCTTTTTTATACCTTGCAGCAGGATTTGCGAAAGTATATCGCTGCCGATTACCATATCAGTTTGAGCTGGTAAGTGACAGCTTGGGTCAGCAAGTTCAAGGATCTTGAATCGCTGCCAGTTTTCACGGCTAATGGTGAACGTAGGCATGTGCCTCGTGAGCTGAGGTAACACGATAGCCTGTGTGTTTATCCGTTGCATGGTTTTGGGTGCAACCAATGTGAGTGGACAAAGCTTTGAGGAGCTATGTACTACATGCACACCCATGCCGGAAATTTCGAACTTGGAATGTTCTAATGGTAGTTTCAATCGTTTTTGAACTTTCGAGGAAATGAAAGTTCTTTGTGAGCCTTGATCAATCAAGGCTCCTAGTTGAAACAATTCCCCCTCGTGTTCAACTGCGACCATGGCAGTTGGAAGGAGAATTTTGCTATCATTGTCGGTATGCAATGATTGCATTTGTGCTTGTTTGGAACAGCACGGTTGCTCGCTGGAATCGGAGCTTGACTGCGCTTGTCGAGCGGGAGCTGTCGACTGGGCAGTAGTGTGTTGTGCGGCGGTTTCATTTACTCGCACACTGGAGTGTCGAGATTGTGGTTTGGGATTCATGTGCAGCAGGGAGTGATGCCGTTGTTGGCAATGTGTACATGACCACTTTTTTGGACACTCATTAGTGCTATGTGTATTACCAAGGCAGTTTTTGCACAGCTTGGTTTGGTTTGCGAATTGTACTCGGTTTGGATGAGGGGACTTGCAGTAAGAGCAAGTTGGTTCCCTCTTAGGTTCTGCCACAAAGGTTTGAGTCCTGTTAAAGGACCTGTTTTGCGCAGCATTTTGATGAGCGACTGGTTTTTGTTTATTTTGGCTTGGATGAAGCCGGTTAAGTCTTTCGACTACTTCGTATCTTGAAGTAAGAAAATCGTCCATTTGTGACCATGACGGTAAATCTCTTCGAAAAGAGAGAGATTGTTCCCAAAGTGACAGTGTGGTTTCGGGCAATTTGGATGAGCATATGTACACCAATATGGGATCCCAACTGTCTGTCTGGACGTCTTGGGAATTAAGAACTGGCAGACAGTTGTTAATTGATGTTTGCAGCCTTTGATGTTGCTCGCTATTCTCGGATTGAATAGTCGGCAAAGTAATCAACATTTTAATTTGGTTGTCAACCAGGATACGTTTGTTTTCGTATCATGACCGTAAAGCTTCCCAGGCCAGCTCGAAGTTATCGTCGCTGAGCGGATATTGCTTGACGATGAAGCCAGCTTTACCTTGGGTTTTGTATCGGAGGTGATACAATTTTTGAGCACGGGAGAGCTTCGGGAGGTTGATGTACACCGCTGTGAACATGTCACGAAAAGCGGGCCATTCTTCGTAACCGCCGTAAAATGTCTCCGTGTCACAAGGTGGGACTTGGAGGAAAACGTTTGCCTCTGCCGAGGTGTGTTCCACGCGAGGTGGCTTTGGTCACCTCATATAATTCAAGGCAAGTGAAGTACTTGCATTCTACCGAATTCTTAAAGTTTTCGGGTAGGCTGTCATCTGGCTTTGA